TTTAAAATCAATTTTAAATGACACAGTCATTTGCTGAACCAATCATATTGTTTAACTTTAAATTCAAAATTTTAACATTTAATCAAATGAATTTACAAAATCAGGTGATTCTAAATTATCATTAAAAATATAGTTGGCTTGGTCTAAAGACCTCCTAAATTTTGGACAAATTTTAAAAGTATAGAAGTCATTTTCTGTCCTATCTTTTAAAAAAATAGCTCTATTAGTTGATAGTATATGTATTTAGTTTTGATATAATAAAGAGATTTTCTCAAAAAAATTCTTTTGTTGTAGAGTCCTATTCTTTTTTAAAACATGTACTTTAACTAAATTTAGACTAATGCTCAACCATCATATCTAAATTTGGCAGTAAGGAAAATAATTTTTTTAACCAAAATCACATGAAACCCTTTTTTAAAAATTCTATTGCATTTTTGATCAAATCACAAAATCACAATTTTTTGAAATTTGAGCATTTGGCACAGCAATAGGAGTCTTTAGACCAAGCCAACCATATTACACAGACTCCATTTGGCAATTGAATCATCAGCAGGATGTATAGTATGATCTACAGATATAAATTCTAAAGGATCAGAAATATCTTTATTATCATCAATCATATTCATCCAATTTTGAATAAATTCTACCCAATGTTCAGTTCTGTTAATAGAATTACCAGTTCCTTCTTCAAAGACACCTAAATCCTCTTCTCCTTCAAAAGATGCTAATGTTCATCATCAGGAAATTAATTTAGCGTAAACTTGCATAAATCTTACGATGCCGACGTAATATTGTGTAAATCTTACAGTGCCGACGTAAGTTTTACACTTTTTTATTATTAAACTTACAATTGACATGTGTAAAATTTTTTTATATTTTCCGGATGATAGTCATTATTTTCAATATTACCATCTCTGAGTGTCATATCATTAGTTACTTCATTTGCATCAAACAGTTCATCTTCATTATCATCACCAACAGATTCTTGATTATGGGATTGCAATGTGATTCCTTTTATAAAGGTTTCCATATTTTTTAATTCAAATTATTTTTTTCTTTTGAAATAATCCACTCTCAATTGACACATTCCAAGAACTTTTTCATGCTTTTAATAAATAAATCTTTAATTTCTATTAATCATTTATTTATAATAAAACTTAAAGTTAAAAACTATTTTTTTTACATACATAAAGACAATTCCCTTTTTTTGATGTATAAAACCCATATTGGATCAGAGTCTTCCAATAGAGGCAGAATTTATACAAATTCCATGCAGGTGAAAGAGCCAATCTTTACACAATTCAGGTGTTTCACTTTGGGCAAAAATTACTTTTTTACAAGCCCAAACTATTTTTTGTTATTAGTCAAAATTGGGCAAAATTACTTTAAAGTTGTTTAAGTTAAAATAAGTTGATTGATATAGTTTTTTAATGCTCATGTTTATAAAAAATGCTGAGAAGCCCAAATTGCCCAAACTAGTTTGGCCTTTGGGAAAATAGTTTGGACCAGAAACCTTAGCCTTGACATCTTGTAATAATTTATAATAATAATAATAATATTGACTACAAAAAGCAAAATACCAATTGCATCAGGAAATTTCCCTGTCATAATATTATGTCCATAAATTTTAATATGTAAAGTTGTAATATTTGCAAAATTATGTCAGAGAGACTTCCAAATTTGGAAATGCAACTCATATATGAATCATAGAGTTTATGTGATGCTCTATTGGAATCTGTCAAAAATCTGTTAAAATCTGTTAATTTCTTCAAGTATGCTTCCATTAAGAATCAAGGAAATTACATATGCTTTTTAACACCTTTTTTTTCCTAATTCTAGTGAATAAAACATCAAAACAAACTGCCAGTACTTTACCATGTTTGTTTGCTTCACTTGCTCAAGAATATCCCAAGAGTAATGCGAAACTAATAATGATCAATCTTGGAGGCATGCATCAGGATTAACAGCAAAGGAACATATAAAACCTTTTGCTAAATATTTTCCTGAATTACAAGTTAGTAATGGTAAACACTAGACCACCAGCTAATATTCTACCATGTTTGCATTTAAGATCTTGCAAATAAATATCAAAAAATGATGGAATCTCATCACTAAGTATTTATTCAAAGTTATACTTTTACGAAATTTCAATGTAATTTCTAATTTATTCATATAGAATCAACTACTAAATTTTATTCAACTTTTCTATAGTCCCGATCATATTAGAACTATTTATTTATTTATTTTTATTATGTAAAATTCGGCATAGAATTTATTTATATCCAAAAACTTAATAATCATGAAGTAATCTGTTACATAAAAAATTCAGTGGAAATAAATCTTACATTAACCTACGTAAGATTTATTTTCCTGATGTGCCTAATTTGCTATATATTTCTCTAAAGTAGTACGTTACAGATTATTGACCTTTTCTCAGCTCATATTAACAATTAATTTAGTCATTTGGACAGTGTCTACTAGTTTTACATAATAGTAAGGTTTGATTATTTATGTTCATAGCAATGTTGAAATTTTCGGTTTCGGAAAAACCAATCCAAATTGTCTTCGTTGACCTTCATTGTAATCGAGTGGCCTATCTTTTTGTGGTATTCCAATATTTTGAAAACTATTTTTTTGTTAAAAAATATGATTAAAGATGATTAATTCGTTCATTTTGTGTTCCAAGTAGCAACTTTTACATTTCATCATTGCCGTTGCTACTGACATTAGATTCCCACCTTTTTTATTAGCAGAGTTGTAATAATACTACTTGTATTGATGGTCCCACACTCAAAAGAAACATCAGAACTTTCTTCCTCGTCACCATCAACATTTATTTGTTCATTCACTGACATACGTTCATTTATTTATTTTTTTCTTTTATCAATCCATTTTCTCTGAATATTCCAATTCAACTCGCTATTTTCGATCTCCTAAAAATTTTATCCGAAATCACTCACCGATTGTCCTAATATTAATTGCCAATGAAAATATTACAGAAACAAACAACAATTTTATACACGATTTTATTGTGCAATTTAAACTTATTTATAACAAATAATAAAGTGTTTAAGTACTAACTACACTACTTCACGAATGTCAATATTAGAATAAAAGACATATTTCAATTACTGCGATATGTAAACTTGAACCAACATAACTGCTCAAAAATTCTGAACTAAGTGCCAAAAAAAAAAAAAAAAAAAAAAATAGTAATAGTAATTACAGTTCAATAATAACGGATCTTGCTCTATACGAACCGAGAATTTATGTCCGATTTATATATTCATTATTACTGTCTATAATGTCTATAACGAACCCCTTCTACGTCAGACATTTTTTCTTAATATTAATACCAAATGGTCCGTTATATAGAAAGTGAACTGCACTATACTATACTATACACAACGAACTACACTATTTCCCACCATTACACTCTTATTTGCTTTACTATCGGTTGCAATTCTACTAAAAAAATAAACAATTATGAGTATTGTGAGTATTTAATCATGGTATTAATAAAAACATTCGTTGTGAGTTTTACCCACTCATTCGTGAGAGTTTGTGTTTTTTAAGGGTGTTTTCTCAATAACCTACATAATAAATAAAGAGAAGACCTTGAAATTTATGAATCTTATTTTAAGTTTTTGCTTTATAGTGAAATAAAACGTTTTAGTCTTATAATTGAAAATGTATTAGTATATTAATTATTAATATTAATATTGTCGATCACGGACAGAAAAGTATTTTCTGTCTATTACTATTATGGTGTCATTTGTAATTGTTTTCCATGAAGCTGTGGGATGACAAACGAATATATATCTGCTCCTATTGTTTCAACATTCTCGGTAGACAAAATTAACACTGTCATAATACATGGAACAGTAGAATATGTCAACCTGCATGTATTTCCTTCAAGCCCAGTGATGCAATTGCTGGTGCCTCTAATCTCCCTTCCACAATTCAATAAATTCTCCCTTCTTTTCAAGTTCAATATCGACCATTATATGCGCCGGGAAAAAATTATTCGCGCTTTCAATATCGATAAAAATACAATGGAAGTCTCTTCCTGTCAAAAGAACTTAAATAGTTAAAACCATAAAAAAAAATGATTGATTTCCTTTTTGGTATATGAAAATAAACCATGTGTGTGATCAAAAGTTATTAAATAACCATATTAGTATAGACATTGATCACCTAAAAAAGAAATTTGATTGACTTTTTTAATAAAATCATTATTATTAATTCATTTTTCTCAAATGGCGATGAATCTGGTCATCTTCGGGGTGGTAATTATATATTTTGGTAGAAATTTTAACCCTCCCACAATGAGATTTTGCCAACCTGCTTTAAGTGAACTAGAGTAAAGCAACGAATGGTATATATTATTGTTTTACAAAGATTTTTTAATCATGCTTGACATCACATTACATCGTATTGAAAAATAACCGCCAATTGGCAGTACAATTGAGGTTTTTTTATATTAACTAATAATATATAAAAGATCTGCTATTATTATAATAATCCAATTTTAGATAATTTCATAATTACAATATTTATTATCCTATTTGTTCTATTGTTTTTATTAGTTTGTATAGTTGTATTACATTTTTGAAACAACCTTTTTGATCATGTAAAAGAAAAAAAAGTAAAGCTAATCTTTTATAGTATTCGCCAAGAGCCACAGGTTTCAATACTTGTTATATAGTTAGTTGCTTTGGTTTTTATGCACATTTAAGTTAATGATCTACATCATAAATTATAAATAGTGTCTTTTTATCCAAATCAATTTTTATAAATTTATTTGTATGCTAATATAACAATTCTCAACTACATTTTTTTATTTTCTTTTAATACCTCCTTTGGCTTTAATAATTTTCATGTTCTTTAGAAGTTAATTTTTTTTAATTATTTAACTAAAAAAAAAACCTTGTCTTCACCACCATTATCAACACAACGACTATTATATTCACAAATACTACACAACCATTTGAATCAAAATGAATCCACTACAAACTGTAATTTCTTCCTCTTCCTCTACTCCTTCTTCCTCTACTCCTTCTTCTAATTATCAACAACAAAAAGGCTACCAACCAAGCAATAATTTAAATGGTGATTCATCTGTATCTTTGCTTCAACAAGTAATTCATGAACGTAATTTGTTAAAGTCGCAAAACGATCAATTATGGAAACTCGTTGAAAAACAAAAGGTTACAATAAAGAATCTACAACTAGATAATCAAAAATTAATTAGTGTTAGAGATAAACTTGTAACAAAACTTAAAAACATTGATACACTTAAAGTCAGTAGCCTGGAAGCACCTGACGATGTTACTTTATCAGCTCCTATTAATAAAAATGGTAATGAGAACTTTGATAATAGTAATAATAATAATAACATTAATATCAATTCATCTAACATTGCTGATAATCAATTTGAATCAACTGCGTCGATTCAATATGATAATCATCAAAGTATTAATAATGATAATAATAATAATGATAATAATAATAATGATAATAATAATTCAAGAGGAACCATATCAAATCAAATACATCCACAACCTCAACAAGCACAATCTCAACAATCACAAAATGTTAAACAAAATGACAATGATAGTCAACAACATCGACACCCTCAATCAAATTCTTCTATACAAATACTTCTTCCCTACCAGCCTATTCATAACGATTCCATAAGTTCTATACTTTCGAGTTCTTTCACGAATTCAGGAACTTCTGTTAATGCTCTAGCAGGTAACTATTCCGACCTAGAATCACCTAATACTTCTAATGCTACAGTTAAAGATGATAACAACAACAACAATAATTCAAAGACACTTAATGATGAGCATGATTCACTAATATTAAATCCACCAAACGTAAATAATAATCAAAAATTAGATGTTTCTTTAAATGATAATACTATATCAACTACTTCAATGTCCACTGGCAATAAATCTTCTCCCAGCCCTATAATTCCTCCTAAATCCTCTCAACGTCAAAGTTCAATCAGAATTAGTAATAATCTTATTCTAAATTCCCCTTCTCAAAAACCTGACAGTTTTAATAATGATAATAACCATGAATTCCAAAACGATAATAATTCTCCACATAACCGTCCTCTTTCACCATCAAATTCAATAATGTCAGTTAACTCGGCTAAAAGTTATCACAATAATGTTAATGCTCAATCTATTAATGTTGAATCAGATATTAATGATCCCGATCCACTTGGTCAATTTCCACAACCTACTCATAGAGATCCGCCTGTCTTAACATCCCCAAATTCACCTAATAGCAATATTAGCAACAATAACAATGACAATTATAAGGAAAATCTCGATGAAAATGAATCATCGGTATCCTCTTCACCTACTTCATCTGTCATATCGTCATCTTCATTTACTAAAAATAACAACTCACTTAATGTGCCCGAACCTCTCGGCTTACTAGCTAATAAAAATCAACTAACTCCGCCGCATTCTCCCGGACTACCTAGCTCTCCTAAAGCTTTCCTACATCATAATTTATCAAACACTAGTATTAATAGTATGAATAATGATAATCCAAATCCCAGCCACCAAAACATTTATCAAATGAAACAACCGTCTGTCAAATCTCAATCGGTTCAACATTTAATAAACTTACCTAATAACAATAACAAAAATAACGACGGCAACAACGGCAATAATGAAAATGATAATGATGCTGATGTTGGTGATGAAACAAAGAACTCATCTAAATATTTTCGTATTCATAGCGATTCTAATGAAAATAATAGAGCTCTTAAAACTAGTAAATCGTTTGATCGTTACGAATCAAATAATCATCGCTTATTAAATAAGAATAGTAACGGCTCATTATATATTCCTCCCAGAAATCAAGAAAATAGTAATAATGTGGTCATATCTCCTCCTAGTAATAAAAATAACACAGAGAATAGCTCTTCACCTGAACGTGTAATGCGTCATATAAAAAAAGCCTCTTTACCTGATGTTAATACGATTACAAATCAATCGTCATTTTATCAAAAACAGCAACAGCAGCAAAACCAGAGGCAACAACATCAATATCAACAGTATCATCAACAACAAAATAATGTGCCACCATCTTCAGAAACTTCTTTGTTATTAGGCGATTCTATATCTGGTATTACTGTTAAAGTGATTGGAAGTAACAAAAAAATAAATGATAAGGGTAAAGAAGTTTTAGCGTTTGTAATAGTTGTTGGTAAATCAAAGGTAGTGGATGCTGTAGTTGTTGGTATGGAGAAAGAATTATGGAGGATTGAAAAGTTATATTCCGATTTCTTGGGATTGGATAGTAAGGTAATATGCGTACAATTATGTATATTTGTATAATAATTATAAATGTGTATAATTCATGTAATTAATATTTATGTATATTAATAAAGTTAAAACAAAAGCAGCTCAAAAGTGTTGTAAATAAAATTGGTAAATTACCCGATAAAACTCTTTTTCACAATAATTCACCAAGTAAAGCTGATCAAAGAAAGGTTAGTAAATATATTATTTATTATTATTATATTATATTATTTATTTATTTATTTATTTATTTATTTATTTATTTATTTATTTATTTATTTGGAAATTAATATACATCTGTTGAACAATCGATAGTTGGCTTTGGAACACTATTTACTACATGCAATTTCTTTAAATTTAAACGATTCTAAAGATTTGTATGAGTTTCTAAGTTCAGATGTTGTTGAGCCAGATGACAAAGATGATCAGGTTAGCAATCATAATAAAATAAATATAAATTTGTTTGATTGTTTATATGGATTAGAATATATATGTTTACTAAATAATATTATTTAGTTACGTGGTCGTAAAGAAGGTTATCTTACCAAGAAAGGCAAAAGTTTTGGTGGTTGGAAAACTAGATATTTTGTTTTAGATGGTCCACTTTTGGAATATTATGAAAGTGTAAGTTGAATATTTAATTTTATTTTATTTTCCAAATTGTAAAATTACTTGCTATAAAATAATCAAATAACTAAAAATTAATAGAAAGATGGTAGCCAACTTGGGTTCATTCGTATAACAAATGCACAAATTGGCAGACAAAGTAATGTAAATAACGATTCAGACAAAGATAGCGAAAACTCTTACAGACATGCCTTTCTAATCTTAGAATCAAAACTCAATTCCAAGAATGCACAAACAAGACATGTTTTATGTGCAGAAAGCGATTCTGATAGAGACGAGTGGATAGAAATATTACTACAATATGTTGGAGTAAGTGAGGAAGAAGCAAAAGAAAAGACAAAAAAAAGGAAAGATGTTAAAAGCAGGTTTCTGAAAGAAAGTATTTCCAAAATTGATGCACAACCTATTTCTCAACTTGATAGAAATGAACAAACTGATAAACTTATTGCTACTGATGTTGTTTTACAACAAGCTCAAAAAGATTTACAATCAAAAAATAATAACAACAGTAACAATAATGTTAATAACAATAGTAATGATTCTAAATTACAACAATTACATCATCAACAATTTCAACAAAATCAGCAGCAGCATCATCATCATCCAAATTCATCTTTTAATAATGATCAAATTGACCCGTCAAAAAATATACAAAGTAATCAACAACAACAACATTACCATTCACAACCTAGTTTCCAACCACCGCCGCCGCCGCCAACACAACCACCATCAATTTTAGGTAATAATACCGGGCATAATTTAATATCTCCAAGAGATGATTCAGAAAAGATTAAAGGTAGTACACTTGAACCAAAAGATCCTTTGCCTCTTGGTAATAGCACAACACATTTACACAAGCAATTAAGCCTTAGAAGAGATCGTCACAATGATGAACATAAAAAAGCAGTAAGAAAAACTTTTTTTGGTAGTATGTTTGGTAGTAAAGATGATAAAAAGAAATATCAAGATCCGAAACCAGATTCTAATAAAGTTGTATTTGGAGTTTCACTTGATCAGGCTATTGCCGTCTCAAGAATAAAAGAAAATTATGAGCTACCAGCTGTCGTTTATCGTTGCATTGAATACTTGGATGCTAATAATGCAGCTGAAGAAGAAGGTATATATCGATTAAATGGGGCAACTGCCACTATAAAAAGGTTAAAGGAACGATTCAATACAGAGGGCGATGTTGATTTATTGAGTGAAGAAGAATATTATGATGTGCATGCAGTGGCTGGCTTGTTGAAACTCTATCTTAGAGAATTACCAACCAGTGTATTAAGCAGAGACTTACATTTGGAATTTGTAAACGTTATTGGTATGCCATTTTAATAAATAAAATTAGAAGTAATTATATTATATACAACAACGATAATAACCTATATTTTTTTTTAGATTTACTTGGTAGAAAAGATCGTATAAACGAACTTGGTCGACTAGTGTCTGCATTACCATTATCCAACTATACACTGTTAAGAACATTGACAGGACATTTAATAAGAATTGTTCAAAATGCACAAATCAACAAAATGACTGCAAGAAACATTGGAATAGTTTTTTCGCCTACGCTTGGTATACCAGCTAGCGTGTTCAGTTTATTCATGGCAGAATTTGACTACATATTCTTTACTAATAGTGATGGTGTTGCAGCACCAAGAACAATGGACGCATCGTCGGAAGAACCTGATGTTTCAAAGGTTAGTGTTTGCTTTTTAAAGATGGTTTAAAAATGACAATGAATTTATTATTAAAATGAAATCTTTTATTTTTACAGAATTCTCCAGTCGCACTATTACCTGTAACAGCTGTTCGTCGTATTGACATTCGTGATGAACTCACAGGTAGAAATAATCGCAACAGTGTACATTACATGGATAGTGCACCTGAGAAAGTTGTGGGTTTAGAAAAAAGAATGACAGGTTAGTTCATTTAGTTTATGAACACGCTATGCACACATTTACACATGTGTTAATGAATAATTAATAATAATTTTAAAAATAGTAACTAAACCCATTCGTCAAAATGATGATACGTCAGATGAAGAAGATGTTAATGATCTTGCAATTCAAGCAGAACAAGAAGAAGATGATGATGATGATGAATATGATGGTTCATCTATAGACGAAACAACAACACAATCAGTACCAACATCACCAAGGCTACATACAACACAACTCCCCACAATGAATTCCATACCAACATCAAGTGATTTAACAAAATCGAACGACACAATGGATTCGATGCCTGGAGTATTTTCTGAACATCAAAAACAAGATTACGAGAATGAAAATATTAGTTTACCAACTGTTAATCAGCCCATGAACAACAACAACAACAATAAATGATATTGGATGGAAATATATACAAATTAGTGGCGGTGAATGTGAAATGACAATTTGTTGTAAATAAAATTAGACTATTTTTCAAAGACTTTAGGGATATTTCTCAATCAACACTTATTTATTTATTATTTATTTATTTTGTTAATAGAGAAATTATAATTTTAAGTGTATTATTATTATTTTAAATATTATTATTTTGTATATATATATATAAATGTATTATTATTATTATAAATTTAAAATTTCGCACCCCAAAATGTTGCAATGATCTCAAAAAAAAATTTTTCTTTGATGCTATGCTTTAACGCAATGAATGAAATTTATTGGTAAATATTAATTTATTTTTTTTATAAATTATAAAATGGAAGAAAATGATGAATAATCTTTAAATTTTTTAATAACTTTCGTTCTTCTGAATATGGAATGATGTTATCATCCTTTGTGGAAACTATTATTTCTGATTTAAAAAAAAGTTTTTACATAATTATTGGCATTATATAATTATAATTAATTCTTTTCTAAATCAATACTTTAGAATATTTAAAGTTCTTTAAAATCTTCAAACGGTTTATCGCTTATTGCCACATGTAAGAATGTAAATGATAAAAGGAAGTCAGAATTTTTTTTTTTTTTTGAAAAAATAATAATTAGTCAGAATACAAGAAAAAGTTACTCGTCTAACATCCTCCCATCCTTTACTTTTTTTTTTTGACAAATTTTTTTAATACCAACTTCCAAAAAAAACTTTACCATCGAAAAAAAGGTTTCTCAGAAATGACGATTCTATATAGATTGAAATAGTCGACACAATTTTAAAGTTTCATTCATAATAATCATAATCATTATATCAAGAACATGAATATGATACAATATATATTCCCATTACAAGCAGAAATATGACACCAAGTTGTGTGAAATCACAAATTCACAAAGACAATTATCGGACAGACAACAAGAACTTTATTTTATTCCAATATTTTAATTGCCAATATTATTTCTTTAATGTCTAAAAAAATTGTGTTCGATTAACAACTATTAATTCCCATGATATTCTATGATTCTCATCTAACTCGAAACATATTGTTCCAAATAAAATTTTTAATTTACCATATCTTGAGGTCTCAAACAATGGTAAATAAAAATGATGATAGATTGTTACATTTTTATTATTATATTTGTAAAAATGGGAAAATTAATAAATAGACAGCAAATAAAAAAACGAGTTGAAATTCAAGTTTTGTTTAAATTATAAAATTTAGTCAATTGAAAAAAAAATTTATTTGTTTGTACATATGTTTATCACAAAATATATTTAAATAAAGCAAATATAATAAATATAAACAATTGCATGTTTCATGTACATTTGTGAATGAATGATTGATTGATTGATATGATTAGAAAGGAGATTTAGCAAGACGAAGGTATGGCTTAACGGTTCTATAGCCAGGGAATAATTTATCAGCTTCTTCATTACTAACACCTGGATGAACAATAACATCATCACCTTTTTTCCAATTGGCAGGGGTGGTGATACGATGTTTATCACCAAGTTGAAGTGAATCAATTACACGGATTATTTCATCAAAGTTACGACCTAAATAGTGATAAATAACACAATTGATTGATTAATAATATTATTATGATTAAAATATTAACTACAAGTATCTACAAATGAATACTAACCAGTTGATGCGGGATATGTGATGATTGCACGAATTGATTTCTTTGGATCGATGATGAAAACACTTCGAACAGTGAATGGAATTCCTTTGCTATCAATATTGGTAGGATCTTGATAATCCAACATGTCATATAAAGTTGATACTTTACGATCAGCATCGGCAATGATTGGAAAGCCAAGTTTTACGTTACCAACTTCGTTGACGTCCTCAATCCATTTCAAATGATCAGTTAACTCATTGGCTGACAATCCAATAACTTTAACATTACGTTGTTCAAAGTCTGCTGCTCTGCGAGCAACTTCACCAAGTTCTGTGGTACATACTGGAGCTATATAACAAAAAAGAATGATATATGGATGATAATCGATTGTTAAATAAGTGATATAGATAATAATTAAGATTTAAAAAAATACACATTTATCAATTAATTAAAATACTTACTGAAATCAGCTGGATGAGAAAATAAAATTACCCAAGAGCTACCGATAAATTCATGAAAATCAATATCTCCTTTGGTGGTATTTGCTTTGAAGTTTGGAGCCTCATTTCCAAGACGAAGAACCATTTTGAATTAATTTTATTAGTTTTTTTTTTAAAATAAGTTTTTTTTTTGTCGTTAAAATATTTTTCACAAAGGAAAATTGAATTGTTGAATTGTTGTTATTTTTCGTAACTCTATTTATAATTCAAAAAAAAAATAATCATTTTTTATCTAAAAAAGTCTATTGGTTAGAAATTGCATCATCAACTTTAATTGGCAATAGCACGTAATTTTGGAGTACTATTACCATTATTACTAGTTGTAAAACTATATTTTTGATATTGTAGAACTATATCTATTGATTAGTAATTATTTTTTGTATGAAATAGTAAGTAGAATTGTTGTTTTGTTGTTTTAGATTAAAGTATTAAGGTCAAAGAGGATAACAAAATTCATCCGTCTATGAGTATGCGAGTAATGCATAATGATCGAAGAGAATCTAAACATAGCAGAAGCAACTATATCAAACTATATCACCCAGCAAGCAACAGCGCAAATTTCTATTCGTTGATCATATTTTTTTTTTAAAAAAAAAGAGATATGTGTAATGTATATATTGGGTAATAAATAAATAAAATAATAGTAATTATATTTTTAGGAATTTGTTGTTTAAGATTTCAGCCCAAAGGAAGATAAAAAGTTAAATTAATAACACTATTCTATTTCAGTATTAATTAAGTTTTAATATACATTAATTAATTTTAGTAAACGTTAATTGGTTTAAACATTTTACCCACATTTTATTTCATTATTTTTCCATTTCATTGCGACCATAGTTTCAATTTTTTCATATGATAAAAACAATCTTGTCAGTAAATAAAAATGGCTGATCGATCTTTTTTCTTTGATAAGATTAACTAGGTTTTAATCAGTATACACAGTTCTCATTGATTATTAATTATCAATGAATCTGAAACTCATTAACTAAAATAAGATTCTAAAATTAAAAGCTTTGATTGGAGACGAGTTAAACTCAAATCCTAAACCATTCTTTAGTAAAGGTTATTTTAGCCTGACCCACTCAATTTATTTTATTATTTCGCTCTCTCGCCCCTAATTGGTGACATTATTATTATCCATTTACAAATTACAAGGACTTAGAGGCCTTCTTTCTTTACTTTTAATTCGAGAACGTCCACACTATAGATGGTATCAAGATTTTTGAACAAAAATTACTTTTGATTCTGCGATTTTTACCGAAAAAATTTGCTATTTCTTTTTTGAGGTTTCGGTATATTGATTTGCGTGTTTCAACGCGCGTCGTTTGTTACAAAACAAACTTTAAAATTTTCAATGTAATAATTATCGAGATATGAACTCTTCGCTTATATTACGGATTAACAACAGAATTAGTTGATTTTTGTTTAATTATTAAAAATGAACGAAAAAAATAGATTCAAATAAATATAAGAAACAATCTAATTTTTGACTTTGTAGTGCTTATATTATTCAAATTAAACTATATCTAGTAACAATTTTTCCGAGTATCTACTCGTCTATTTTCCTTCATAACTGCTTGCTTTAGTAATTAACATATGTATCTCTGTTACTAAATCAATATTTTTGTTATTAACGTTATTAAATATCGAGACCTGACCAAAAAGTCTGTCAAGCATCCAAAGCTTCTTCTGTCATATGGTAACTATATTGTTGACCGCAAATTTTCGATAGATTTTTAATAATTTAAATTTAACCAATTAAATTACATGAATTAATCCCATAATGCATAAAAACTTTTTTGAGAGTTGATATATAAGTCAAAATTTCACTATACTAGTGTTGGTCTGAGTGGCTTCAGACTGTAACTCTGCTTCTGGAGAACAGAAATGTGGAATACTTCACATTTGGACCAACAATCTCTAATGCTGCACGTTGAAAGCAGTGTCTCATTTGAACTTTGTGTGAACATTCTGGTTTATTTGTAAATTTGGGCCAGTAGGTTCTTAAATAGCAAGGAAAAAGCCCGAGGCTGGAAACAGAGCAGGGAAAACTTGCAGCACTAAGTGGCTATGAGGTAGCACGCTTGAGTGATGAGTCATTAAGGGTTGCCAAGTATGTAGTTAGACTGCAATTTCGATTTTTTTTTTCATACATCTGATATTGTTGAGAGTGTCCAACTTTATCAAATAAATTTAGGTCGCATGTCATTACCATCAATAATAATCAATCCAAAAAAAAAATAATAATAATAATAGAATTAGAAATCTCTTCGGAAAAAGCATTAGTAACAAATTTCAAGCAGTAATGAACAAAAGTTTGAATGAAAAAATTATAGAAGAAATAGATTCCAAGGAATCAAGATTCATGTAACTAATTATAATAATGATTACGGATATGTCTTTCAGAGTTCACGATGTTGTAAAGGATCTAATGAGGTAATTCACATTATAAATTCTTATAATTATTATTATTTTTGAAAAATTTTTTAATTAATTCTTGATAATAATTAATATTAATACGTTCAGGTTGAATGTTTAAATCATCGGAAGTTACAAACATATACATTTTGTAGAACATATAATAACCATTTTTACATAATAATTAATCTATATAATTATATATAATAATATAGTTATTCTCACACTTGTAGGTAACTTCTCTTTTTTTTGCGCATTGTTTTTTTATGGTCATAGCAAAACTTTTTCCCAATTACCCATCCCAATGAATTTATTAATTGATGAAGATAGTATAGCTGTAGAAGTAGAATTAATAGTAGTAGAAGAATCAGAAGCAATAATCAACCAAGAGATCTGTTCAAAATTTCACCATTGACTATTCTCACTTAACATTAGGAATAACGTTTGTAAGGTCACAAATATTAATTTCAATGATGCGATTTGGATCTTTTCAACTCTGAATACCTATAGTTTTGGGTCAACTGGTGACGTTGATGTTGATAGTAATATATAGTAATAAGATGAATGGACATGTCGACATGTTTGCAACAGTTTTGTTTCAAGATTATTATTCTTCTAGGAGTATTTGAAGCTTCTTGGAGAAAGTATAAACTAGGCAATTTTGAAACAGTGTCATGAAGATTATTATTGTTTGTTTGTGCAAAGTGAGTCAATTATCATTTATTTCTCATGAATACTTTAATAGAAAATGGCAGATTAAGAAGGAAAGGTAAATCAAAACAATACATGTTCCACTTGCCAAATCATAAATCGTAAAATTTAAAATTTAAATTTTATATTTTATCTATTATTACTAATAGATTTACGAATCCATTTTAGAAGAGGATTCGAAAAAGAACTTGCCATGAATAATGATGAATGTAAATCACATTATACCACAAAAAATCTATTTGAGCTTTAAATCACATAAATATTCATTATTTTTGTTTGTTTTCAGATAGAAATAAATTTATTAAAAAAAAAAGCTTGATGAATCAAGACTATTTAAGAAAAAAATTGACAAATGTATGAAATAAAATTTGATCCTTCGACAATTACTGCACAATCCATCTAAATGTAATTACAATGGTAATTTTTAACAATTATTTTCATTTTTAAAGTTAATAATATCAATATCATTTTTATGGTAAAGTATTTTTTATCAGATTGAATTAACTATACCAGATGAATTGCTCGAATAAAATCAAGATTGTTGTTTATTTATTTTTATTTTCAAAATTATCATTAAATCTATCATTAAATAAAATCTTTACATCTAGAATATATTATCAATCAAGAATGACATCGAGACGTCCTTTTCATCACTATCAATAACATCTATATTTCCATTGTCGTCATTGTCAACATCGAATATTTCAAATACGACTAATATTTTCCCGGCAAATGGTGATGAAATTTATATTCTTTTCCGGTAGATCGGTAGACTTTGAGTGTACGCAAATTTGTAGCCAAAAAACAAAAGGCTTTATTTGTTTGATTGCAAAAAATAAGTAAATAGATACGGCTCTGCAAATAGCTACGGTTGCCGCAAATAATTACGACTGCTGCAAATAGTTTTCAATTACTGTCATTAGTATTATTAGTCGTGTTAGTCGTGCGAAAATTATTTGTGATTTGCAGTAACTGGATTTTTTGAATTGTAATTGATGAATTCAATCAGTCGGTCATTCATTTACAATGAGATTATGTGTAAAAATCAGAGGTTGGAATCGTCCAAAAATCCTTAGTCGGCTACTAGTTGGTCAAAAATTTCTTTAGTCGACCAAATTTTTTTTTTATGATAATAATAATAATAATAATAATAATAATAATAATTTCATTTTTTTTTTAATTTGAAAATTACGAATTCATTTCAATTTGAATCTTTCACTTTTTCAAAATGCTTCCACACAAAATAGTGTATTACGATTCATTTTTTTAAAGGTCTTCTGGAACCACCGCTTAAATCATTGGAACTTGAAACCAATGAACTTTTTGACCTTGTATTGGAAGTGTTTATTCATTCTCATGTAAAATTATCATCAACAACACAATACTATTGTCGTCATCATCATATTGATGGTATTGATACTCTTCCGCATAAAAATTTTCCATTTTGAATGATAAAACA